GCAATGGCAAGTAGGCAGAGATCTAAACAATTTACTTCTAAATCAGGCCCAGATGCCGTCCCTGTATCCGTTTTCTCGTACTGGGACTAATTAGAGATATTGTTGAAGGAGCAGATTCAGACCCCAATAAAAAGCAGCTGCTCTCAGTAGCAGATTCTGCCTCGGACCCGTGTCGCGGTCCGCTTCGAGAACGTCTTTAGAGGCAACCGGAGGGTCGGCTTCCCTAATAACCCTGAGGGACCAACATGCCCTTCCCCTTGCCCCTCGGTTTGTATCAATATGCCCCTCAGGACCCCTCGGCGAGGCTCCAGACATCTAGGGACGAGCCCCCGATTAGTAGCCAGACACCAAGACCCTCTACCTCCCTTACCCGAGGGTACAGCCCCTCATGCATTCATTACCCGGTATCAAAAAACAACCCTCAAGAGTCCCTCGACCGCAGAAGAGCAACCTCGGAGAGGAAGCGGCCCAATATCAATCTTTGGTCTCATTCCTTTCTCTCGCCCATCTCTTTCAGGCACGGTCCCCCTTGACCCCACGAGTAACAGAAGGTCCCGCAGGCCGGGACAACTCTTCACAGGGAAGACAGCGACACCGAACATAACAGAACTAAGAATCGATAACATCAGGTCCTAACTTTCTCTATCAGCTGGCGATACATTTAATGAACTCTTTTCCTTTATTTTTATTTTACTTAGCTTGTAAAAATTACAATCATTGTATAAACCCAGATGCATGAAAAAAATGCCTACCACACAGAATGGTAGCGAAAGTTAAATTTCCTTTTCCTTACCTGTCCAACCCAAGTCCCACTGCTCAGAAGTAAATGCTATTAATAGTTCCTCATGTGTTCTCCTAGAAATTTTGAGAGAATAGAGGAAAATTTATTTTTTTCTGTGCCCCAATTTTTTTTTTCTCCTCCCCAGAGCTCACAGTACTACATATCACCACTAAATCTTTCCCAGGCCAGTCCCATAAATATCTCAAGCTATCCCAAATAAGCTAGAGAGACAATTAGAGAAACTAAGAGATTGTGATTACTATTAGTGACAGATTTTTAAATAACATTTTTCTCCACCTTCGGTGGTTTCTCTTCATGCGTATGTGCTTTTAATCCACGTTCTCAAGTTCGTTTTGCATTCTGTAGCTGTTTTTCTTCAATTAAAAAAATGGGGGACTTCATTTACTGAAAGTAAGTGAAGGCTTAAACTGACATGAATCCTGCAAATCCATGGAGACTGTGGAGCTCGTGTATCCCTTAGTGGACCACAGACGTAAACATGGCGGTCCTAAATGCTCGAATATCTTGTCGCTCCAAGATCCTGCACCGTCACTATTCCCTCTTTCTCTTACTGGCTGGTTTCCTATTCTCCCTGGACACATCTTTAATCTCTGTGTTTTTAAACACACACTGGGGACATACTGCTGTACCTGGGTGTGCCCCCCGGGTCTCTGTGGTGTCATTCTGGCCTCCAGTCTGTTTTCAGGGAGACCCACCAACTTCACCCAAGCCACTGAGGGGCTGCCACCAGGTGACCACCCCTGTCACACTCTCACCTGTAGGGCAGTCTCTGCCTTTCTGTCCACCTGGAATAGGCGCTCTGCCCAAGTCATCTCTCCCCCGTCCTGTAGACCCCTCCTTGTGACTTGGGCCCACAATTTTCTTGGTCAGTAGCATGACCCCGCCTGACTCTGGCCTGTGGCCTTTTAGGCATTTTACCATATATCATTATGGACAGAAAATACGTGGAAGAACGTTTCTGTCTTTTCTTTTCTTAACTTGAAGGCAGCCCAGAATATTAAACCTTATTAATAGAAACAAAACCAAGCAGCTTTGCAGGAAGAGAGAAACAGAAATAAAAGCCACAGCATGACTGAGGGCTGACAGAGAGGTTAGGGGGAACGGAACAATAAAAATAACCCCCAACAACCCAAGCCGAACCAAAGGGGTAACCCTCCCCCCGGACAACCCTCAGTTCCTCAGGAGCAGCCGAGCCCTCAGGCTGGGAGGGAGGCCTGGTTGGCCTGGGGGAATCCATCACCATAGGCTCAGCAATGGCAGCTGAAAGGGTGAGATGAGCACAGGCTGCATCCTGGGAGGTCTCCTCATGCTGAGGGGAAAAAACAAGAGGAAGAAAGGGTCTTTCTCCTCTGACATCACCAGGTGAGGATAAGAGGCCCAGAACTTACCAATATTAGCCAATGGACGGAGTCAGCCCACAGGAGAATGCCAAGCCCGGAGAAATAGAACCGAGCCTCTGGATTCGGTCAACCCTGATTACCCCCAATCACAACTCCCCAGTTCTTAGAGCCAAGACAGTTTCTCACCATTTAAGCTGGTTAAGTTCAGTATCTGTTACTCAAAGGAACAGCATCAAAGGAACAAAAGCATCAAAGGAACAAAAACAAAATTTCCACTCCACAAGCCACATTTTGTCCCAC